TTCAGTAGTCACAAACAGGGGTCAAGGGATTTGGGGATACATAGAACACCTGATTGTAAACACATAATCAAGCCAAGGTCTAGGCATTAGTATAGATATGCTCAGAAACAGCTAACCAGACACAGTAACAGAACCAGACATAAAGAACAAACTTACATACAGGGGTGATAGGGATTTGGGGATACATGGAACACCTGATTGTAAACACATAATCAAACCAAGGTCTAGGCATTGGTATAGATGTGCTCAGAAACAGCTGACCAGACACAGTCACAAAACCAGACATAAAGAACAAACTTACATACAAGGGTGATAGGGATTTGGGGATACATGGAGCACATGGTGGTAAACACATATCAGGTAGAGATAATTGGTGCAGACATGTTCAGAAACAACACAGGGGGGGTAATATGCTGATCTTAAGGAAGGGGAGTACATAACATGCTAATAACGCAAACATCAACTGTAAGTTTCACAACAAAACCATAAATAGAAGCAAACTAGAAACAGGATGAACTGAAGCAATAAAAGAACCATATTGTTGTTGGAACTTGAATTGAAACTAGAACATACCAGTAAAGAAGACAGTAAGCAAAGTGAAAGAGCAGGAAACACAATGGTTAGCCTTGGCTTGCAGTCGGCTAACTTAGAATAGTGGCAAGTAGCACAAAGGAGAGCAGAAAGTCTATGTGAGAGAGAGAGAGAGAGCTTTTTAACCAAGAGTGTTCGTGTTTGTGCTAACAAGAAGGCGTGTATATATAGTTTAAAAACAGGTAGCACATAAGGTAAAAAATCAAAGTTCATCAGTAATTATGGGGACTCGGAATCAATCAGTCACAAAATCAAGGTAAGTACTCCCTTTAATTGAGGAGTTAACTTCAAATGGTAATAAACATGTAACAAATAAGGAAGGGAATCGTATAAGGCTGAGCCTAACTAATAAGGAAATATTTTCAGCATAGTACAAGTACACAACGCATAAAAGAACCATATTGTTGTTGGAACTTGAATTGAAACTAGAACATACCAGTAAAGAAGACAATAAGCAAAGTGAAAGAGCAGGAGAACACAATGGTTAGCCTTGACTTGAAGTCGGCTAACTTAGAATAGTGGCAAGTAGCACAAAGGAGAGCAGAAAGTCTATGTGTGTGAGAGAGAGAGAGAGAGAGAGCTTTTTAACCAAGAGTGTTCGTGTTTGTGCTAACAAGAAGGCGTGTATATATAGTTTAAAAACAGGTAGCAAATAAAGTAAAAAATCAAAGTTCATCAGTANGTTGTCGTTAACGAACGTAAGGCCGTTCCGTAACGTAACTAGTTAAACGTTAAAACGAGGTAGACAATAAAGTAAAAAATCAAAGTTCATCAGTAATTATGGGGACTCGGAATCAATCAGTCACAAAAATCAAGGTAAGTACTCCCTTTAATTGAGGAGTTAACTTCAAATGGTAATAAACATGTAACAAATAAGGAAGGAATCGTATAAGGCTGAGCCTAACTAATAAGGAAATATTTTCAGCATAGTACAAGTACACAACGCGTAATAGAGGCTAGGTCCAGCATATTTCAATCAAGGACTTAAGAAATCAATTAGTAGCATAATTGACAGCAGAATAAGGTCAGAAAATATTCTACAAGGTTAAAAATCAGTAGAGATATCATGCAAAATCAATGAAAGATCAGTCACAAAGATTCAAGGATCCAAAAATAGAAAATAGCACTGATTTAGGACAACTTTAAAAGAACAAGCACAGAGCAAGCAAAAAACCAGAACTCTGAGAGGTCGAGTAGGACAAGAATCGTATATAAATTAGGGATTCATGTAGAGCATAGTCTTAATTAGTAGAACAAGCATGATACAGGTAGGAGAAGTGAAGAATCAGAAACATTGGTGAACAAAGTAGGGCAAAATCACACAATAGGCAAAGATAACCATAATTAGGAACTTTAACAAGCAATCATAGGGTACAATCATAGAATCATAGAAACTATGGATTAACTAAACACGTTATCAAAACCAAACTCAGAAACCCAAGATTAGAACTAAGAAATTAGGGTTTTCAACATAGGCGAGTTGGAAAGGGCGTAAAATCATAGAATCGGTCGAAATATGTAAGAGATAGAAGTTTTAAACATAAAGAATCGGTTTAAACAAAGTTTTAGAAGAAGTTCCGAAAATCCTAATTTGAGAAGAACGTAAAAACACTTTGAAATCGATGATTCTTGTAAAGAGTTACAAGGATAGTGTAAAACATCAAAGAAACAGACTCAAATCGTTTAAAAATCGTACAGATCTAGGAGTTGTAACCAAAAATTAGGGTTTCAGAAGAAACCCAAGTGTAGATGAAAGAACTTGTCAAAATCTCAAGGATCGTAACAAGTACAGTAGGATTTCGCTTGGAATCATACTGAAGTAGCCAAGAACAGACAAGATGGAAAACCCTAGATGCAAGTCGGCGTGGCCCAGGGCCCTTGAAGAACTTAGAGAAGGCAAGCGTGGCAATAAAGGAGCCATTGGAGGCTTAGGAGTTGATGGGAGATCACTGGAGAAGACTGGAGAAAGGGAGATCGGCGGTTGAAGGAGCTAGGGTTAGGTTGAGTGTTTGAGAGAGGAAAAGAGATGAGAGAATACAGGGGGGGCGGATTTAGAAAATAAGATAGGGTTTGTCACACTCCTTTTTCCTACACCCTCGGAAGGGGTGTAAAGGAGTTTTTTTCCAATTTAAAGTGACAATCGAAACGAGATTATTTTTATTAAATTCAGAGTCGCCACTTGAGATAATTTATGGTGTCCCAAGTCACCGGTTTTAAATCCCGAATCGAGGAAAGATTGACTCTATTTTACAGTCCGCGAACACAGAAATCCGGTAAGTAATTTTGTTAACCCGAGAGAAGGGGTTAGGCATTCCCGGGTTCCGTGGTTCTAGCACGGTCGCTCAACTATTATATTTGGCCTATTTATCTGATTTTAACACAGGTTTTAGCCTACGGTAGATTTAAATTTATTAACCGCTTTTAATCATTTTTAAGAAGATTCAACGCTACTTAAAACACGCCTTGGACCAGCCACATAAAATGCACCCGCGGTCCACGACACATTTTATCTAACGTTGTTAAGATTTGGATTTGGGTCATATGAAATGCACACCCGAGTTTAAGGAGATTAAATTAAATTACGCGCCTAAAGCAACTACGCACTTTCAAGTTTGTGAGGGCCATGGAAAGTTCGCTAATGGCACACCTCGATTTCTTTGTGGAGGACAATACTCAATAAAAAAAGGTCCAAGATGTTGGATCTACTCTAAATATACATCAACAGTATACAATTATGAAAACGGGCCAGGCGTAATTTCAATACATAGGCCCCAAACTCTTTCCTTTCTAAATTAAACCATAGCCAACATAAGGCCCAATCTTACTCCCAGGAAACATTCTTGCTTTCCTGATGCCTTGCGTTGACACAACAACGGAAGAAAGAAAAAACCCCATGCCTATGAGCTCAAAGCCAATGAACTAATCAACATTTAAATAAGAAAGACATGAAGGAAATAGTAGCATATAAATCTCGTAGCATACCATATTTCAACTGGAAAATTCAACAGGAGAACCAAATCCAACACAGAAATGAAATTCGAATCAAGAAAAGGTGGGCAAAATTCAGACATCATTTTAGACTTGCTCGAACATGAATCGATTTACTCCAGACATGACTAGGAGTTGGCACGAACCTTTAAACATTGAGAACTATTATCTTTTCAACTAAGCAATTTCGTGGCATCAGAATGTTGGCAGCATACATCAACTAGCTTTCACTTAAATCAAGTAATTCATGGAACTTCATAGCAAACAAGAGCCAACAACTTCATGACCACTGGGTTCGTAATACAGCATTAAACTAAAACATTACCATCCTCAAACTTTGTTACTACAACTCTAGCTTGCTATCAAAATTGTCACCCAATTTGAAGTTCTCAAAGTAGAATAATACCATAGTTTAAGGGGGAAACAAACACCAAGAACCAGAATCACTTAGGTTAAAGGTTCGACGCATCTATGCACCTGGCTCATACACAAACTTAACCAAGGGAAAGCTGAAATTGAACGAGCATCCAAACCAACATTCATCAGTTATGCGTTCGACACTAAAAGAAATCTGTGGCTCTAAGCATGAACAAGGAACCAAGAAGCAATCGCTAAACTTAATTCATTGGATCGATTTTCTCTTCAGCATATCAATGGTCCTTCGAGTGTAAAATTAGATGGATGAGTAGCTTAGTAAAGACAGCAGTACACCAACAAAACTCCAATTCAATCCCACCTTGAGTAAGAAAATTTGCACAGAATCTACAGAGAAGCAGAATACTACCAAGTTTTCTCCAGCTAACTAAAAGAAATCAGTGTTTGAGAGCTGAGATGATCTGATCTTGTTCAAAGGTGAAAACAAACCACTGGAGATGGAAATAAGTAGATAGAAAATACAAACTGGTCGGGATTCAAGTGTCAAAATAGTCTGTACATTTCAGCATCAAGGCATGAACAAAAATACGCGTAACTGGACTGATTGGCACCTAGTACACGAATAAGCATGAAACTTCAAACATACAAGAGCCATTCAAATTCAGTCGACTAGCAATCAAACCAATTCTGACAGCCTATGATGAAAGAAACCAAGCAAAGTTAACCTTCAAGCCATTTGGAAACCAACCCTTAAACATTCACACACAAAAAAAAGAATAACTATGGTCGGACACTGATAGAAGAGGCAGATGAACACTCAATTACATGCTTCGATGGATTATAAGACTAGAGGATCATATGAACATTCATTAGCACACATATGAAATCATAGAAGAGGCTGGAAAAAAAAACAAGAAAAACAGAGCAGCAGGATGAACCTAGGATAACTACACAAATCTCAGTTATTACTTTAAACTTCGGCCCATTTTATAGCTCATTCAGAGATCGATTTACAACGGGAACTAAAGAGAAGAAAAGAAATGAACCTGGAATTAAGAGACTGAATTAATACAACGCTGAAATCGACCAAAAGGAAGCAAATAGCAGCTGAAAATCAATCCTCGAGCAGCAACAGACTCGAACCTCTCAAATGACTTCCATTTTTAAACCAAAATCCAGAATTGAAATGAAGAAGATGGACTCTAGAGATTTCGAAAAAACTTTAAACAATAATCGACATAGAAATGACATAGCAGAACACTCAGTGATTTTTTTTTCTTCTGTTCTCGTACCAGAAATAAAAGAACAATCAAAAGAAGAAATCTCTCTCAAATCCTTTCCCAAAATATTCTCCAAAAGTCCCCCCGAATCATCCCCAATATTCTCTGCCCTCAAAATCGGATGAGGTCCCTTTTGAAAACGAGCCTCTGATGAATGTGGGGCTCGGATTAAATGAAATCAATCCAACGCCTCACACTCATCCAACGATCGTTCCCAGAACCTTCCAATCGCGTGCTATATCTCAAATTCGAGCGAGTGAGGGGGAGGGGAATCTTTGGTGTCAGAAACCGTTACACTTGTGGCAGGAGGAGAGAAGGGGGAGACGTGTGATGCGAGTTTGGATTTCACTCGCCTGAATTTTGGCGATTTTTGGGAATGGATCGGTTGTTTGGAGAAGAAGAACAGTGACGCCCGTTTCTGCGCTTGGGAACTAGGGTTAGGCTTTCTTTTCTTTTGTGTTATTAATATCTGGGGACGGGTCGGGTCAGCCAGGCGGGTTGGGCGTGGGATTTAAGCTGGCGGGTTTAAGTGAAGAGAGGGGTGGGGCATTGAGGGATTTGGGCTTCAGAAAAATGAAATTGGCCCAATTTCGTTTTTAATAATAGGCTCCTTTCCCTCCTCAATTTCTTTTCCTTTTTCTTTTCTTTTTACTAATTAAAAATCCTAAATTAAATTCACAAATTAATCTAAATTGTAACATTAAACTAATTGTCTAACTATAGTATTTATAAAAATTAGCTACTCCTAGACTAAAAGAAAAAATTACTAATAAAAAAGGCTAAAAATGTAAAAGTGAACCAATTTTTGATTTTTAATTTTAATAAAGCAAATAATTAACTAATTATCCTTAAAAAATATAAAAAATGGCGTAAATGCAATGGATGGTATTTTTGGCTTTCTTCATGATTTTTAATGAAAATAAACATGCACAGAAAAATGCAAATAATTAGCACAAATTTTGCACAAAATCCTATAAAATTGTAAAAAATAGAAATACAATTATTTTTTCCTTGAATTTATGGGAGTAATTCACATAGGGCAAAAATCACGTGCTCACAGGGTTAGGGGGTCATTTGGAATAAAAAAGAAAGGGATTAATACGGGCCGTTGATCTGAGAGATCAACAGCCAGGATTTAATTGGGGATGGGTCGGGTACGCGGGTTCAGGGTTTGGGTCGGGTCGTTTGGTTAGAAATTGGGCTGGGGTTGGATTTAAATTGGGCTACAATTGAAAGCAAATCTGGCTATATTTTAAATAGCCACTTTTCCCCTATATAATTTATAATAAATAATAAATAATTTTTGGAAATAATTTTGTGTACTAAAATGATTTAAAATAGATATTTGACATTTTAAAAATATAGGAGATCAATTTTACGCATATAAAGGTAGTTATACATTAAATGGGCTAATATTGTAATTATATGCAATTTAGTTTAGAATATACCAAATACAATTATAAAAAATGCATAATAATATTTTAACCATATTTTGGCATAGATATAGAAATTAAATGACCAAATCATCACAAATATAATTTGAGGGATCAATTATTGGGGATTTTGTGAATAAAAGGGAAGGAAATAAATCAATTTAAATCCCTAAAATTATGGAAAAAATTATAAAACCTTGTGCATGCTTATATATGACTCTATTTTGAAGTTATTTATGCATATTTAAAATATATAGAAAAATATTGGGTATCAACAGCTGCCCCTCTTTACCCGGGAAGGATGAAAGAGTTTTCAGGTAAAGAAATGATGGTCGATTTTGACCGGACGGGATGTTTTGAAAGACGGAGTCGGACTCCGGTTTTCGAGTTGCCTGCATATCCCTGGTTTTACAGGAATCAGGCCATGTGTAGTTCTGGATTCATCCGCGGAGTATGCCAATGAAATTATTGCAAGAACGGACACGCGATGCGGAAGCGGCTACGGTGAGCGGTTAAAGCTCGGGACGGTTAGAGGGAACTGGAGCGAGATTGCTCCTGCTAGGATAGCGGTTGCTTACTGGTTGCCTGCAGATAAAAAATGCTACAAACGTATTTGCGGAAATTTAAGCATGATGCAAATTCCCTTTGGACCATGAGGGTTGTCTTTGGACGGTTAAAGATGACGTCCTTAGACCATGACGTCCTGGGCCATGAATTATTTAATGAGGGATTCGCAGGCCATGAAATGTTTGTTCTCGGGCCATGAAGATGATGCCTCCGAACTGTGACACCTTTGAATAATGATATGCAAGTTTTGAGAGATCCTTAGGCCATGGCATGGTGTCTTCCGGGTATGACGATGATGCCTTTAGACTATGACTCCTTTGGATAGATTGGCAATATTCCAACCCATGATATGAAATAGTATAATGTTAACAAGACAAGGCTTAGTCTTGTGAAATGGAGGGCAGAGCTTAGCCCGATAGAAGAGCAAATAAATAGTATTAAAAAAAAGATGCAATATTTGTGCAAGGAGGGACAGTGTATGGTTCCATGCAGACGACGAGGCAGGGATTAGCCTCATACAAATATGGAGACAGAGATTATCCTCATGGAGTCAAGGATTAGACTCATGCAAAATAGGGAGTCAGGGATTAGACTTGTGCAAGTATGGAGGCAAGGATTAGCCTCATGCAAGTATGGAGGCAAGGATTAGCCTCATGCAAGTATGGAGGCAGTGATTAGCCTCATGCAAGTATGGAGGCAAGGATTAGCCTCATGCAAGTATGGAGGCAAGGATTAGCCTCATGCAAGTATGGAGGCAAGGATTAGCCTCATGCAAGTGGGGAGGCAAGGATTAGCCTCATGCAGGATGGAGGCAAGGATTAGCCTCATGCAAGTGGGGAGGCAAGGATTAGCCTCATGCAGGATAGAGTCAAGGATTAGACTCATGCGAATGGGGAGGCAAGGATTAGCCTCATGCAGGATGGAGTCAAGGATTAGACTCATGCAAATAGGAGGCAAAGATTAGCCTCATGCAAATATAGAGGCAAGGATTAGCCTCATGCAACTGTAGAGTCAAGGATTAGACTCATGCAAATGTGCGGGACAGGGATTAGTCCCATGCAAAGAGCAAGAAGCAAATAAGGGTAGTATATGTCTTAGCTGGAGATGTATTCGGTGATTGATAGCGATCTTGCTATGTGGAAGTTACCGTTACGTCAGATATGCCGACGTTCAAAGAAAAATTGTAAGTTTTGTGAGGGGAAGGTTGGTTCGTGCTTCTGTTGGCTGGCTTTGCTTTGCTCGGTTCCAAAAGCCTTTCGAGTTCCCCTGGGTGATACCTGACTGTAATGGAAATAGAGTTTCGAAAATATGCAATTATTGATGAAAAATAGAGTTATTATTAAAAAACATAGTGAAATATCACGTTATTTTGGATGAACAAGCGACTGTAACACATTTCAGAGGCATTGCAACTCACTCATATTGGAATTTTGAGGGTCCTCCTCAAAATTCTGCCCCAGTTTAGTAGATGATCTCTGACCGTTTGCAGACAATAGGCCTTGCTGGACTCCCTTCGGAATTTTGAGAATCCTTAAAATCCTGCCCCAGTTTCCTAACTGATTTCTGACTGTCTGATATATGCTGGCATTGGCCGGACTTGCTCCGGAATTTTGAGGATCCTCCTCAAAATTCTGCCCCAGTTTCTGATCTTGGGGGAAGTGAAAATTTTATTATGATATGACCGAACCCATAAGGCTACCTACGTATCCCCTCTTAAACGGGAATCAGGTCAATCGTAGTTCAATTACATCAGATGAAGAAATGTAAAACAATATAAGCATATTATCTTTTGACTGCGTCTGAATTGATAGGTTTTGGCCAGATTTCCCCGTCCATTTCTGCAAGTATGAGTGCTCCTCCTGTTAGCACCCTATGAACCATGTACGGGCCTTGCTAGTTGGGAGAGAACTTCCCTTTGGCTTCATCTTGATGCGGGAAGATTTTCTTCAATACCAGCTGCCCTGGTACGAACTGCCTTGGTTTGACTCTTTTTTTGAAAGCTCTGGACATTCTGTTCTGATAAAGTTGGTCGTAACATACTGCATTCATCCTTTTTCCATTGATAAGGGCCAATTGTTCATAGCGACCCCTTATCCACTCTGCGTCACTAAGTTCAGCTTCCTGTATGATTCTTAAAGAAGGAATCTCCACTTCGGCCGGGATGACAGCCTCGGTACCATAAACCAACATGTAGGGAGTTGCCCCGATCGATGTGCGAACCATAGTGTGGTACCCCAACAGAGCAAAGGGTAACTTCTCATGCCATTGTTTGTGGTTCTCTACCATTTTCCTGAGTATCTTCTTAATGTTTTTGTTGGCGGCTTCTACGGCTCCATTCATCTGAGGTCTGTAGGTTGTGGAATTCTTGTTCTTGATTTTGAAAGCTTCACATATAGATTTCATTAGATCACTGTTGAGATTGGCGGCATTGTCAGTAATAATGGACTCGGGAACTCCGAATCGGCAGACGATACGATCCTTGACAAAATCTGCGATGACCTTCTTGGTTACAGCTTTGTAAGACGCAGCTTCGACCCATTTTGTGAAATAGTCGATGGCGACCAGAATAAACCTGTGCCGGTTTGAAGCAGTGGGCTCAATTGGACCAATAACATCCATTCCCCAGGCGGCGAATCGCCAAGGTGAGCTTGTTGCATTGAGCTCGTTTGGCGGCACTTTTATCATGTCGTCATGCACTTGACATTGAAAGCATTTGCGGACATACTGAATGCAATCCGTCTCCATGGTCATCCAGAAGTAACCTGCCCTGAGTATCTTCTTAGCCAAGACGAAACCATTCATGTGTGGACCACATGTCCCAGCATGCACATCCTCAAGTAGCTTAGAAGCTTCCTTTGCATCAACACATTTTAGTAGACCCAAATCAGGAGTTCTTCTGTACAAGTTCCCTCCGCTGTGGAAGAAGTGATTCGACAGTCTCCGGAGTGTGCATTTCTGAGTGTGATTTGTATGCTCCAGGTACTCTCCTTTTGATAAGTATTCTTTGATATCGTGGAACCAAGACTTTCCATCCTCTTCTTCCTCGACATGAGCACAATACGACGACTGATTGTGGATCTTCACCGGAATGGGATCAATGTAGTTCTTATCTGGATGTTGTATCATGGATGACAAAGTGGCCAATGCGTCGGCAAACTCGTTCTGAATTCTGGGTACATGTCGAAAATCTATCTTTGTGAACCTCTTTCTCAATTCCTGCACATGGTCCAGATATGGCAATATTTTGGAATTCTTGGTGGCCCACTCTCCTTGTACCTGGTGCGCAAGCAAATCTGAATCACCGATTACCAGCAGCTCCTGAACGTTCTTGTCGACTGCCATGTTGAGTCCTAGTGTGCACGCTTCATACTCCGCCATGTTGTTAGTGCAGGGAAATCTGAGCTTAGCAGATACCG